CCAATGTGAAGAGACGTTTCACTGAACCTATAGACGAATATCTAAATAGGTTTAGGCTGCTCAAGGCGAGATGTTTTACACAAGTGCCAGAACATGAGTTGGTCGAAATAGCCGCAGGCGGTTTAGATTATTCCATTAGGAAGAAGCTAGACACCCAATACCTAAGAGACATGGCCCAACTGGCCGATAGAGTTCGACAGGTCGAACGCCTCAAAGCTGAAAAAGCTAAGGCAACGAAAACTCACAAGAGAGAAAGGATAGCGTACGTTGAGATGGATGACGAAGATCTAGAATCCTTCGACGATACTTTAACTGTCGAAGAAGGAGAAGTCGATTTAGCAGAACTGAAACAAGGGCCACCATACTCTTGTAAACTGTTAGTCCCCTCAAATGGGAAAAATCCCATTGGTCCAGAAAGGACCAACGATAGGTTCCCAAAAAAGACTTATAGTTTTGACATCACAAAATGTGATGAAATATTCGACTTGCTAGTTAAAGATGGCCAAATGATAGTACCCCCAGGGGTAAAAGTGCCTCCTCTTGATCAAAGAAAGAAGAGAGGTTTTTGCAAATATCATAATTTTTTGGGCCATAAAACTTCTCAATGTTTTCTTTTCAGGAATCTTGTGCAAGACGCTATTGAAGAAGGGAGATTGAAGTTTGCTGACAAATCCCCCATGGCTGTCGACTCCAATCCATTGAAGGCTGAAGCCCACTATGCTGAACCCTCTGAGGTGAACATGATAGAGGCAACCAGGATCCAGTCGAAGAAGCCAGGAATTACCATGGTCGAAGTCTCAAAAGACCACATCAACATGCCAATCTTTGGCAGTTTTTCTGGAAATTTATCCAGGAAGACAATTGAAGCTGTTCAGAAAGCGGTCGAAAACCCGAAGTCGGAGACCGCTGAAGCACAAAAAACTGGATCAAAAGCCAATTCCCACTTGGCCACTGTTCAAGGCCAGACGGAGAATCTGGAGATACAAATGAAGCAGTTAACTCTTGCTAACAAAGATACAATGAATATCAACATGGTCGAACTTTCTGAGCCAAAAGCATCAGAAGAGGCCATAAGGCAAGAACAAGCTAATAAGACTGCTTTCCCTCGGGAAAACGAAAACTTGGCAGATTTTCTACAAAGATGCCAGAAAAAGAAATCAGAGGTGATGCTGTGTCCAAGATGCAGTTCGATCTTTGATAAAAAAGCTGCTGAGCACATTCAAGGCGTAAGAGCAGCGAATAAGAGAAGGGAGAATGTTGACCTTCGACATGATCCCAGAAGGGGTTCTAACCAAGACAAGAGGCCATTGACTTTTAGGCCTCCAACAAATGTGCCAGTAGACACTTGGTACAAAACCTCTGGCCGGAAAAGGCCAAGTGAGGAGAAATGGCATTCTTTCGATGTGCCAAGAGGTTCCTCTTTGACTCAAAAGAAAGAGCCTCAAGTTGCTGCACCTAAGGTTACACAAGTGTCCAGCAACTACAAAGGTAAAAATCCTATGTCTCGATCTCAATGGAGGAGATATCAAAGGAGACGAAAAGCGGAAAGGGAGGCTGCTAACGAACCTAAGGCAGAAACTAGTTCGAATGTTCCTCAAAGGAAACAAAGGAAGCCTCTAGAGAGAGAGCCAGTAACCAACAGGCTAGTTTGGCCTAACCAAAGTGAAGTCGAAGACGAAGACGATGCTGAGTCTGATGATACTTTGGACATAATGGTGAATATCGTTTCAGTGCTGCCCAGAGAATTCAATCGACAGGTAGAAGTCGAAGCAAGTGACTGGGAAGTGGAGCAAGAAATGGCCAAACATAGGCCAGTGTGCTATTTTGTCATGGACAATGGCACTACTGAGGAACAAAATGGCTTCTTCGAGCCACCTACAGAGGCGATGAAAAATCACCTCAAGCCTTTATTCATAAGGGCTAAACTCGAAGAAACTACTGTGAATAAAATATTGGTCGATTGTGGGGCAACCATCAATATTATCCCTCACTCTATGCTAAGGAAAGTTGGCAAAAGAGATGAGGACATTAAGCCTCACAACATGGTCCTGTCGAACTATGAGGGCGGCATAGGGACCACTATGGGAGTGATCCAGCTAGATATCAAAGTGGGGTCGATCCTTCGACAAACGATGTTCATGGTCATATCGGCCAAACCTAACTACAATCTTTTGGTAGGCCGTGAATGGATTCATGGTGTTGGCGCTGTGCCTTCATCAATGCACCAAAGGCTGCTGCTATGGCGTCCAAATGGGATGGTCGAAAACATAGAGGCAGATCAAAGCTATTACCTTGGCGAAGTGAATCACCTGGGTTTGGCAGATTTCGACAAAAACTTGGCTCACATAGGGCCATGTCCAACACCTGACTTCGACATGGCGCCAGCGCCAAACACCTTTTGTTCCCTATACCTGCATCCTGAGCATGGTTTCCAATGGGACAGAGAAGACTTATCCCACATAGACTTCAGTGGGTTAACTGATATCCAACCAACTGGTTGGGGAAGTGAATTCAGTGATAATGACTGAGTCACAATCTTTGAAGCGAATTTCGGCTTATGTAGCCGAAACCAAGATGATAACGGCTCTCGAAGCCGAAGTAAAGTACATGGCCACACAGGCCAATGATCAACAATTATCTGCTGTAGGCCCAGGAAAGGATTTCGATCCAAAACCTCCTGATATCATGCCAGAAGAAATGCAGGAACAGAGGCTCGACGCCATCTATGAAGATGAGCCTTTGGGCTTCGAAAAGGATCCCTTGGCGAACAACATTAAAATGTTAGCACAAGACCCTTTAGAAGAAATCAACTTAGGCGAAGGATCAGAGAAAAGGCCAACTTACATCAGCGCCAAAATCGATCCAGAACTTAGGTTGGAAGTGATCCAATTGCTGAAAGAGTTTAAAGACTGTTTTGCATGGGATTATGACGAAATGCCTGGTCTCGACAGAGGATTGGTAGAACTTCAGTTGCCAATCAAACCTGGGAAGAAGCCAATCAAGCAAAATCCAAGGCGCTTCGCTCCTGAAATACTGTCGAAGATCAAAACGGAGGTCGAAAGACTTCTGAAATACAAATTCATCCGTGTTACAAGGTATGTCGAATGGATTGCAAATATTGTGCCAGTAATTAAGAAAAATGGTACGTTAAGGGTGTGCATAGATTTCAGAGATTTGAATGCTGCCACCCCCAAAGATGAATATCCTATGCCTGTGGCGGAAATGCTAGTCGATTCTGCCGCTGGTTATGAATACCTGAGTATGCTCGATGGTTATTCAGGATATAATCAAATATTCATTGCTGAAGAGGATGTGTCGAAAACAGCTTTTCGATGCCCTGGGGCCTTAGGCACTTACGAATGGGTAGTGATGCCTTTTGGCCTAAAGAACGCTGGGGCAACGTACCAACGAGCGATGAATACTATCTTCCATGATTTTATTAACACTTTTATGCAAGTATATATTGATGATATTGTTATAAAATCTGTTTCCAGGAAGAATCATATTGACCACCTTCGACAATCATTCGAAAGAATGAGAGAACATGGTCTGAAGATGAACCCTTTGAAGTGTGCGTTCTGTGTGAAAGCTGGAGATTTCTTGGGCTTTGTTGTCCACAAGAAAGGAATCAAAATCAACCAGAACAAGACGAAGGCAATTCTGGAAGCGAAAGCGCCATCGAATAAGAAGGAATTGCAATCTCTCTTAGGCAAGATAAATTTCTTAAGGAGGTTTATATCTAATCTAAGTGGGAAAGCTCAGGCCTTTTCACCCTTACTTCGACTGAATAAAGAGGGGTTCAAATGGGGGCAAGAGCAACAAGACGCCTTCGACAAAATCAAAGGGTACCTCACTAAGCCACCTATTCTGGTGCCTCCTTGTAGCAATAGGAGTATGAGATTGTACATAGCTGCATCCGACAAAACTCTGGGAAGCATGTTAGCCCAAGAGGATGAGAATGGAGTCGAAAGACCCATTTATTATCTCAGTAGAGTTTTGAATGATGCAGAAACTAGATATAGCGAAGTTGAAAAATTGTGTCTATGTCTGTATTTCTCTTATACAAAACTCAAGCAATATATAAAACCAGTTGATGTTTATGTTTCGTCTCATTTTGATGTTTTCAAATATATGTTGTCGAAACCTATCTTGCATAGTCGAATTGGAAAATGGGCATTAGCATTAACTGAATATTCCTTGACCTTTATGCCTCTTAAGGCAGTGAAAGGGCAAGTGGTGGCAGACTTTATAGTCGACCACTCAATTCAAGTCGAGGATATTAATTATGTGGAGATAGAGCCTTGGAAATTCTACTTCGATGGTTCCAGCCATAAAGATGGAACAGGGGTAGGAGTCTTGATTATTTCTCCAGATAAAATTCCAACAACATTCAAGTACAAAATAGCAGGTTCACTACAAGAAAATTAGTGTTTAACGACACAAAAATTGCGACAGTTATGTGATAACTGTCGTAATTGACATATAGAGACAGTTTTTACGACGGTTGACACCAACCGTCCCTAATATTTATTTTGCGACGGTATATTTAACCATCATAATATTATTATTACGACGGTAAAACAACCGTCGGCCCCCATTTAACACTTTTAACATTGATTTTTCACCAACAACTAGTCACGACGGTAAAATTAACCGTCCTAAAAGGCATATCACGACGGTAAAGCACCCGTCGCACCCTTAAACCTTTCACGACGGTAAAATTATCCGTCCTAAAATTCATTTCACGACGGTAAAACAACCGTCGCACCCAAAACCTTTAAAAATTCTCATGGGCACGACGGTAAAACACCCGTCGCAGTAAAAAAGTTAAAAATACCAAAAAAATACCAAAAAAAGTGAAGGGCCTTAGGAAAAGGTAGAACATCTCGGTCCACTAGAAGCAAGATCCATCTCCAACCTTTCTATTCCCAATCAACATTATCTCCTCATTTATACTTATGATAAGAGAATAACAGAAAAAATAAGATTTGGGATTTCATATGTCGTGTATGCCTTGGTTGCCAGAGGCACGGTGGTTCTGGCGGAGTTCAGTGCCGTCACCGGCAACACAGGCGCCGTCGCTCGTCGGTTACTCGAGAAGCTTCCTACCGAATCGGATTCCAGACTTTGCTTCTCTCAAGATAGATATATCTTCCACATACTCCGATCCGATGGCCTCGCGTAACTTTGTATGGCCAACGACACCTTCGGAAGTGAGTAGCTCGCCGTTCTTTTGTTTTCTTGATTTATTGTTTTTGACCTAATTGCTTTAATATCCAATTCTAATGTTTGTGCTGAAAAAATGATTATGGAAGGATCAGTATTCTTTCTAGAATGAAGATAGGGTTTACTTGGAGTGGTTTTGGTTAGTTTCTTTTGTTTAAACTTATAATGATTATATGATTGTTATATATTGAAAATGAACTGTGTTGGTGTGGTGAAATTGAAAAAAAAAGGTGTGATTGAAGTCTGCATCATTGTTTATGTGTTGTTAGTTAGTTCATCTATTAAGAGATTCAATTGTGTTGCGGAGAGGTGTTCTTCAGAGGTTTTTCTGGCTTCTGTTGAGTGTTTGGAACTGATCAGGCTTGATACTGCAAATTATGCAACCGCGTTAGAAGCAGAATCAAACAGAGGCTTCATTCAATTGGCATCTGAGGAACATGGTGTGGCACCGTGTCTGATGCTGTCATTGCTTTTGAATGACACTTTTCCGTAAGGTAAAAGGGAGAAGAACAAACCAGTGATGCTAACTGGATTAATGGACAATCATTGGAAGGCTTGCACTGATTGGGTTAACCCTAATGGAAAACCTAATCTCCAATTTTCTATTTCGTACATTGTTCTCTTCTTGTATACCACAAACAAACTGGTGTGCTCAAGCCTAAAACATGTCTTCAAAGCAATATTTGTCAATAAATGTTTATCCAATTAAAAATCCCTTCTAAAATTTCTGTTAGCCAAGTACGACAAATAAGGTTAAAAGACCACTTTATAGCTTAAAAAGGAATTGCTAAATATTTACCTCTAAAGGATTTTCCTCAACCCGCAAAATGATAACATTTCTTGTACAAAAACACCCTTTTAACAGAAAAAATCTTCTCTATAGACCAATTTGAAAGAAATTTTTGTCATCGAGTGAAGTCTACTACCAGTGGTAGATTTGATGAATTTCGAAATCATTGTATTTCAGGTGGTCTTCGGACGTTGGGAAAGAAATGATGTTACAGAAGTCATCAACACAATGGCAAAGATGGCTGATCACGCTGTAAGCATTTTGAGCTGCTTGTTTTCAGTTACAACTTCGATTTTGCGTGTTCTCTTTTATGGCATATTGAGTTCTAACAATACTTTGATTTAATTGTATTTATTCCAGGTGATTGCTGATATTGTTAGCATTATAATGGAGAAAATTGATATGGTCACACTTGACTTGTGTACAAGTCTTCTGCCACTTCTAAGTGACCTTTTACAAAGTGAAATGGATAGGTAAGTGATGTATCTTTCTGTTTCTTGTTTGACATAATTTTTCATCTGCCTTTATTAATTCATTTGTCTCAATTGTTGCGAAAATCACTGTCTTCTGTATATTTTGGCTTAACATGTTTCATTGTTTTTCTTATAAATTTATGCAAGTAATCACTTGCAATGCAAGATATCTTGGGGTTTCATGTTTGGATTAGCTATCAAAACATTACTTGACTTTTGTTTGCCCATAAAAATTTCCAGCTGCAGTATTTTTGTGTTGAGTATATTGGGTGAACTCCAATTTAGCCCTCAAAATTCTATGTATAAGACAATCCCAAGAATTAACCATAATTTTAAATGATTTCTACAAGTGAAAATTCTTGATTACATTGTTTTATTTTGGGAAGTCAATTTAGTTTCTAAAATTGTTTGGAACATAGTTTGGAAGTGATTGATAATTTTCGATATCATAGGTTATTTTGCAATTTTGTTAAATTTGTGGCCCTAATTGCCTAACTCTACAATACAATTTCAAGACTAAATTGAGGATTACATTAGTAAATAATAAGTTGACTAAATTGATGAGCATGGGAAATTTCAATGCAAATTTTATAGATTTAGTTTCTATGTTGACTATTTTCGTATCATATATTGTAGACATCTATCTATATCCGTGGAAATGTTATTGAACCTGGTCAGAGTATTTGGTTCAGTAATCTATTCAACGCTATCAGCTAAACCCTCTGTTGGTGTTGATATTGAAGCAGAGAACAGGTCCACATTCCTGACTTATTTTATTTTACCTTTTATATATTCCATTACACAATTTCATTTTTGATTGTTAATATGATCCAGGCTAGAGCGTTGCAACCTCTGCTTTATAGAGCTCGAAAAAGTCAAACGTTTCCTACCTTCTCTAATGAGGTACATGTTTAAGTTTATTGGTTTGTCTTTTATTAAAAGAAGAATTTTCCTTTTGTTTTATTCGATTCTGGTGCTGCTAGATGAGTAATGCTAATTACTTTTTAATTTACAAATGGTTTGCTTAAATTCATGTTAATTTAAATAAATGGTAGAATTGAGAGAAAATAGCCTACACTAAAATTGGTTTCAGCTTTACATATAAATATAGATTTTGGAAGTTAAAAAAAAGAGTTTTTGTGCTAAAAGTAATCAGGACATTATGTATTGGGATGATTTAGAATTTCTCATGTTAATTTCCATATTATTTGTTGTCCTTTCATCTGTAGAAGAGGAGGATCAATTGCAAAATCTGCACACGAGTTGAATCTGGTACTTCAGGACGTGTCGTGACTCTAACTGGATTTAGAATTTCTCATGTTAATTTCCATATTATTTGTTGTCCTTTCATCTGTAGAAGAGGAGGATCAATTGCAAAATCTGCACACGAGTTGAATCTGGTACTTCAGGACGTGTCGTGACTCAATTACAAAAGGCCTGTTCGATATTGTGATTTGCTAGGTCGGTCTAAAAATTTGACAACCATTTCTCCAATCTGTAATTCTCTCCTCTTCTTCGTTTTCTTCATTCCTACGCCGTTGAAGAAGTTGAAGTCTATGTGGGTGTTCGTTCGTCTAACATACTCTAGATCTCCTTGAAGCATTAAGGTGGTTGATGCTTTGTTTTTCTTGGAATTATTGTGAATTCTAATTGTCAAATTTGCATTTCATGGTTCCCACCTTTTTCTTAACTTAAGTTTTATGTATTAATAGACTGGAATTATCCCAGTTAGGATGATGACTACCTTGTTTGCTTGAAGATATATATAATATCTAAATTACATATATATAATATCTAAAGGTGTGATTTTAGTTGGGAAGAAATCTTGAAATGACCATGAATCTCAGATGATTCTGCACTTTTCTATGCGAAGAGATGAGCAATCCAACAGTAACTTCTTACTTTAACTTCTTACCATAATCAGTTTTGATGAAGTATGCGTGATGTTGATTATCGTTGTTGAGAAGCCGATTCAGACTTGTTGATGAAAATGATTTTGTGTAGAGAAGCAGTTAGAGAGTGAGTTTTGGAGAGAAGTTCTGAGAAGAGTTTCGGATGTGTGCAGAACGAATTGTTGAAGTTTTAGAAGTGAAATCGTTGAAGACTCATAGAAGATTTTTTGTAATTCTCTCAAGTTGTAGCAAACCAATGTAAATATTAAAATGAAATTTGGCCTTTGATGATATTTGAATTTTTCTTGTTTATTGGTAAAATTTGCACTTCTTTTTACCTTTGATCACATTTTTTTGATATTATTGATGATTATTTGATATTAAATGTTTTTATTGTAATTAACTTTATTATGTTGAAAAGTGATAGAAAATAAAATAAAAATACTATAAATAAAAAAAATATTAAAGTAAATAATAATTTAAATATAATAGTAAAATAATATTATATTTAAAATTATTTTACTAAATAATAATTTAAATAAAAATATTATTTGAAATTTATAAATCAGATTACGACGGTTAAAACCGCCGCAATTTCTAACCTACGGCGGTAGAATAACCGTCGCAAACAACAACAAAAACAAAAAATAAAGTCAAATTCACGACGGTATATAACCGTCGCTATCTGTTGTGCGTGACAGTTTTTGCAACCGTCGCGAAATAGGCTGGGGACGCACGATTCTGCGACGGTACTTCTACCGTCGTAGATTGTAAATTGCGACGGTTTTAACCGTCGTAATCAGCCAAAATAACCGTCCCAATCTATCATTTTTCTTGTAGTGGTTCTTGTTCGAACAATGAGGCTGAGTATGAAGCTCTAATTACTGGCCTTGAGATATTGTTGGAATTGGGGGAAACTCGAGTCGAAATAATGGGAGACTCAGAGTTAGTCATTAAGCAAATCACAAAGGAATATAAATGCATAAGAGAGAATCTCATTATGTACTTTGTGATAGCAAATCGTTTGTTGAAAAAATTTGAAGCGGTCAATATTCGACACATACCCAGAGTCGAAAATCAAATAGCCAACGACTTGGCACAGATTGCATCTGGGTATAAGATTTCAAAAACGAGATTACAAAGAGCAATCGAAGTTCGAGAAAAGATAAAAGCAACTTGTCTATCACCAACAGATTTGGAATCGACGAGACTAGGATATGCTGATCACAGTAACTTCGAGATTTCGTTCATTGATAATTTGTCAGAGCAAGATTGGAGGAAGCCCATTGTGGACTATCTTCAAAATCCAGGAGCTTCGACAGAACGAAAAACAAAATACAGGGCGTTGAGTTTTGTACTCATGGGTAATGAGTTATTCAAGAAGACGCCTGAAGGGGTGTTGCTGAAATGTTTAAGTGAGACTGAAGCATACATAGCCCTTTCGACTACGCATGCTGGGGCATGTGGGGCTCACCAAGCAGGCCATAAGATGAAATGGTTGTTGTTTCGACAAGGACTATATTGGCCCACTATGCTGAAAGATTGTGTTGAGTTCGCCAAGGGTTGTCAAGAGTGTCAAGTCCATACAGGCATCCAACATGTACCAGCAAGCGAACTTCACTCGATAGTGAAGCCTTGGCCTTTTAGAGGATGGGCGTTGGATCTCATTGGAGAGATTCGACCAGCATCATCAAAGAGTCAGAAATACATATTGGTAGGCATTGATTATTTTACTAAGTGGATCGAAGCTGTCCCTTTAGTCAATGTAGACCAAGAAAATGTCATTGAATTTATTCAAAAGAACATTATCTTTAGGTATGGAATCCCTGAGACGATAACAACTGATCAAGGGTCAGTTTTCACTGGTCGAAAGATGCAGGAATTTGCTCAGGAAACAGGTTTCAAACTCCTAACATCAACGCCTTATTATGCACAGGCGAATGGTCAAGTCGAAGCAGCTAACAAAGTGGTGATTGGCTTGATAAAGAAACATGTTGGGAAGAAACCAAAGAATTGGCATAAGACGTTAGACCAGATTCTGTGGGCTTGTCGAACGTCCCCAAAAGAAGCCACTGGTACAACACCGTATAGGCTAACTTTTGGCCATGATGCAGTGTTACCAGCAGAAATTTGTCTTCAATCTGCAAGGGTTCAGAGGCATTATGATATTCCTTCTGAAGTTTATTGGAACATGATGTTGGACGAACTGGTGGATTTAGACGAAGAGAGATTACGCGCTCTCGACCTACTCAGGCTTCAGAAGAAAAGAGTAGAAGATTCTTATAATAAAAAGGTAAAACCTAAGGTATTTTTGCCTGAAGAGCTAGTTTGGAAGGTA